CCACGGAGCTCCGGGTCCTATTGGGGACCAGCTGTTAGACTTCCCGAAGGTGGAGCGCGGGAATGACATGTTGGCGTAAGTACTGCATTGCTGATGCAGAACGTATGGGATGTTTTAGGGAACCGTGATCATTGACGACGTGGCTGTGGTCTTCACCCACGAAGGGTGGGATTTGCTGGATCCTGCTCAGAGAAAACTCTACAGAGACGTGATGATGGAAATCTTGAGAAACCTGGATTCAGTCGGTAAAATCCCGGAATCACATGGTTGGAAGCATCACCTTGACAACCACAGGAGACATTTGAGTTCCAGCCCCTCAGCTCGTCCCCTGCCTCCCTCTGAGTAAGGTAGAAGAGGAAGCTCCTCTCTCGTCTCCTGGAGCGCCCCAATTCCGCAGCTCTCCACGCGAAGGCAAAGGAGTGACCCCCATAATTTCCTCCAGACATGAAACAAACAGCTGGAGCCTCTCATAATGTCAGGTGTCCCCCCAGTGAAAGGCCACAAGGAGATCAATTTGAAATACAATTAAACCAGCAGCTGCGGTCCCTCACCCCCAACAATGATGTGAGAAGGCTCATTTCTCATGTTAGCCGGACTTTGAAAATGGGCTGCTCTGAGCCCCATGTACAACTGGCCCGTGCCAAGCTCATCTCCAGAACAGGCCTCCTGATGAAGCTGCTCAGTGAGCAGCAAGATGTTAGGTATCAAAAGCAGACTGGGGTACAGACCGATGGAAAACTGAGAATTATATCAATGAGAGCACAGAAGTCCAAAAGTGAGCAAAAACAGCAGGAGTCAAGTGAGCTCACAAAAGAAGTTCCCGGATATGGCTGTAACAACAAAGTCATCTTGGCAATATCTGTGACTGTGGTATTGATGATTTTGATTAAAACTTTCTGCCTCATTGAGGGTGGGAGTGGAAGTAAGGTTGAAGAAAATATTCAAGCCTCAGTTTGTGTGTGATATTGAAGGATTCTATGGGCAAAATATTGAATGATGTGAGAAGCATCAAAAGAAGAGGCAGGAATACAAAAAATCACTGTACCAAAAAGAATTGGTCGGTATTCAATCATTTCAAGAGGTACTATTTATGATCAAGAACCAATGGTATTGAGGAAAAAGTCCAAGGCATTGGTGGAAAACAATGCTCCAAGAATTGATGAACTACATACACATCGAAATGTTTCAACAAACTGAAGGCTTGTTGGAGGCTCACTCATCTATGCCAAGAAATTTGGAAGAAAGCTACCTGGCCAACCAATTGAAAGAGATCCATATCTGTGCCCATTCCAAAGAAAGATGACCCAACAGAATGTGAAAATCACCAAAAAGTATCATTCGTGTCACATGGAAGTAAACTCTTGCTGAAGATAGTTCAAAAATGGCTGCAGAAGTGCATCAATAGGGAGCCACCAGAAATTCAAGTCAGATTCAGAAGAGGACATGTGTGTAGGACATACGCAATCACTGAGAAGCTGAGGCCCCGCGACAAGATGGACAAAAATCCAAACTCGGAGGCCCTCCTTAGAATTGCGAGGCCATGGACCCTGAGGGCCTAGGAAATGACCTCCTGAAGTCCCGGGTTCATTGGTCTTTGTGAACTCACTGGTTGGATACCTTTGTACAATTCTCTCTGGTTCTAATATTGTTAATTCTGTACTTGTCCTTTATGCTTCTAACTCCAATAATTGTAGCTTCTGAGAAAATGGTCTCTAATGATAGCAATGTATGCATTGCCTCTCTTAATGGCTCCACTGTAAAAGTCACTACCCTGAAGGTATTGGCAGTACATGAAGTTTTGGGAACAAATCTCTCTGAGAGGCAAAGCTCTGACCACCTGGCAAGTATGTTAAAACTGTTTCTGACCAAACTATTCAGTTATGTTTGATATTAACTTGAAGCGTGAACTCTTGATGTCCATGGACAAATCGAACTTCCCCCTAGAACCGAGGCAGTAAAGCTTCCTCAAATGACATAGGAAGGACAGGAATAGGTGTGTTGGAATTAAGAGTAAAAGTTTCAGAGTGAAACTGCCTAAGGATATGGAATGGTAAATTCTGGGAATATTTGATTAAAGGATAATGGCGGCAGCTCCCCTAAACCGCTCCCGGGTATAATCA